GCATAGGCAAAGGTAAGAGAAACTAAGACATATGGAAAGAATTGAAGAAACAAAGATATAAATATATATATAATTTTAAAAAAAGAAAGAAAAGAAAAAGCAATAGGCATTCAAATGCCCTTGTGGTCTCCCACCTACTTTCAAACAGGGTTTCCAGAGTCGCCTTCAGATGACAGGCATTGGAAACTTATCTCTGTCTTTTCCACACAGATTTGGAGATAAGATTTTCTGTCACTGAACAGGAGAGAACTTGACAGTCTGGAACCTCAGGCCTGAGGCAGGAGGAGAGTTGAAAGGACCTTTCAAGTTTATCCTGTCTTTCTCTGAATATCTTTATTATCCCGAAGCTTATTATTTTATCACATAGCTTTGACTGAGAAAAATGTCCCTTACATGACTCCCATACTGTCTCCTGGCCACCTCCACCTATCACTCACCACCTGTCACATCCATTCCCATTCATTTCTGCTATGATTCCTTCTTGTCAAAATGAAGCGTCCCTTGTTCCTTCAATTCTTTCCATATGTCTTAGTTTCTCTTACCTTTGCCTATGCCATAGTTGGTTTAACTCTTATCTAGAGTACAGAACTCAGAACTGAATGTGCTTCAGTTATGTCCTGAGTAGTATAATAATACATTTTATTTGTTAATGGTTTTTAAAGAATGTTTTTATGTCACAAACATGGGAATAGCCATGGAGGTGAGGTAAATGAGGCCCTTTAATATAAAATCTGATATTAAAATAACTCAGTCTCAAAGGAAAGAAAGAGGCATAAATGTCATTTTAATATAATAGGAAAAGTTCATATAAAAGTTCAGATGAGAAAATTACTATTCCTGCTTAAATGGTATTAGGAACAGTTGTCAATTTGCAGTAAGATACATATTACACTGCTCATTCCTATTACACTTACTATCCATTAGTCACCTTAACAAGAGGACTTGTGTGGTGTGGAAATGGAAAGTCAGAAACTTTAAGAAGAAGCTAAAGGAATTTAGGATAGGTTATATGGAGAAGGGAAGATTATAGGATACCATGACTGAAACGTTCAGATAATATTTATCAATTTAGTTATTTATTCATCCAGTTATATATTTATTAAGCATTTGCTATGCACTTGGACACATGTTACTATTAGGCATGTAGTGGGAAAAAAGTCAGCATTATTCTTTCTTCGATGAAGTTTGCAATCTAGTAGAGGATACAAACATTAAACCAAAGAATATACATGTAAATAAATGCCTACAAATTAAGATAAGTGTTGCAAGAAAATTACAGATACTATGAAGAGCAAAATTCAAGTGATAGCTGAGTAATATTATTGTGTCTCCATGTTTGCAACAGTATCTATAATACAGAGAAAATAGATTTAACCCAAAGGTAAGAAAGTTCTCTATAAGTCAGTGAGACCTGACAAGGATAGTGGTTTCAGGAAGCAATAAGAGTATAGACATTGAGAATGTTCAGACTAAGCATAAGAATGTCATGGTGAAGCTTCTCACAGTGCATGCAAGATTGGGCTCTGGTCTGATTCACCTTCAAGCAAGTGCAGCAATAGCCCTGAATTTAGGCTACTGCTGTGGATGCCACCTTAGAGTATTACAAGTGAATCTATATTTATTTAAAGGAGCTCTAGGGTTCTGAAGAATCTGATGGATGATGAAACACAAGGAAATGTGAAATTGTAGTTAGAAGTTAGGGAGGAAACTTTCTGAAATAAAAGGTGTGTGGAGGAGACTTAGGAAATGCTTGCAGGTTTCATTGTGGTCTAAAAGGATGTCACTATAGTGATTAGAATGTCATAAAATGAGTCTGGAGTTGTTCTCAACACTGAATTCATCTCAGAAAATTTTTAGTAACATTCATAATTTGATGCTTTACCCAGAGGTTCCAGTTTAATTTGTGAGATGTTTCCTGGGCACTGGGATTTTTCATTCTCCCCATGTGATTTTAATGTGTAGCCAAGATTGAGAACCACTGATCTATAAGGTCGACCCAAGAGAAATCTGTGGATAAGAGGCACATGGTAGTGTATTTCATTTGTCAGAGAAGTTGCTAGTTTTGAGGGAGGCCCAGAGAGAGTGTGCAAGGGGTTTTAGCAGAGCTGTATCTGAAGAGTGACTATCATAAGAGTGCAGCTTCTTTGACTGTCCTTCTTGTTACACTATGACTATGACTATGCTAGTGTCCATAGTCATAGCTCTTTGTATTCCATGGGCTCTCCAGTTCTCAATCATTTATCCCTTCCAGCAAAGCATTATCATTCAATTATTTAGATGTTTGAGCCATTTCACATTAGCAGCATGTGACCACAGGATAAAGAACTGATACAAAATCAGTGATTCCTACATCCAATCTGTCGAGTGAAACAGTAAACTGATTGGTGTTAATTCAGCTTTCATGCTCATTGTGACTGCATCTTCCTATCTACTATTTTAAAATTTATTTTACAAATTTAATATATCATATTATGTTATTATATTCAATGTGTTATGCTATATTATGTTATTTCACATTGCATTACTTTAAATTTTATGTAACTTCCAATTCCTGATTGGTTTTTAGCTATTGCTCCCTGACTCTTGGTCTCAGATGGAATCTTTTATCTCTGAGTCTTTGATCTCCATGGTCTCTAGGTCGAATCTGCTCATTTCGAAAGGAACACATCTCTGATAATCTTTCTGTTTTTATACTGGAAGGTCACTGTATTTTAGCATAATTTTAAGATGGATTGTTAATTTCCTTCATAGTCCATATTTCTCTTTTGAAACAGTTTGAAACTGCAGTTACAATTTTACTGGAAACATTTTTCCCTCCCTAGGATTCAGCAGGGACTCATGGAGACTATCACTTTCCTAGGTGTTTTTGTCATCTCAGATCCATGTCAGCAGAGCTCAAACTCAATTCTTTTTGATGACTCTAGCCTAGATCAGAGTTTGCTCTCATCTCTGTAGTGAAAATGAATATAAACTCTGAATGTATATTAATTTTCTCATTTTTTCCTTATGTTCAAATAAAGAGAATAATACTATTTTCTTTCATTTTAAAATTAAAGTAATTGCCTATCTAGTGATTGGCTGAGTATGGATCTGACTCAGATCTGAGTTATTTGAGTTTGTGTCCCATTTTTAAGCTGTGTTATCTCCCACAAAATTGGGCAGTCTAACATATCTCTTTTACTATATAACATGTTAGGAATGTAGAACTCAGGAGAACAGGAGTAGAGATGAGATTGTGTGTTACTCCAGCTTCCCCCACCCTTCCTATCTCATTTTTCAGCTTTTAGAGTAGGCTACTGAGGCAGACGACTTCAACTTGTGCGAGCTAATTTTCTTTTTTTTTCAAATGGCAGGTGAAGACTAATACCTGCTGTCGATGACATGGGAACTCAGAGCAATGGGAGCCTCGACCGCCTATCTGTCTTCCTGACTGGCATCCCAGGACTGGAGGCCCAACATGGCTGGTTCTCCATCCCCTTCTTTACCATGTACATGGTGGCCATTGTGGGAAACAGCCTAATCATGGCAGCAGTGCAGGCAGACTCTGCCCTTCATGAGCCCATGTACCTGTTCCTCTCCATGTTGGCCATCAGTGAGGTGGGCGTCTCTTTGTCTACACTGCCTACTGTTATGGGCATTCTTTGGTTTGATGCTCGCAGGGTTGACTTTGATGGCTGCCTGGCCCAGATGTTTTTCATTCACACCTTCTCCTGCATGGAGTCAGGGGTCCTGTTGGCCATGAGCTATGACCGCTTTGTAGCCATTTATAATCCACTGCGCTATACATCCATCCTGACCCTGCCCTGCATCATCTCTATGGGTTTAGGCATTACACTGAAGAGTGTAGCACTCATGGCCCCACTTCCAGTCCTGTTGAGGCAACTGCCCTATTGTCACATTAACATCCTCTCCCATTCCTACTGCCTCCATTCAGACCTGATCCAGCTGCCTTGTGCTGATACTAAGCTCAACACCATCCTGGGCTTGGCCATTGTACTGGCCACTTTTGGGCTGGACTCACTTCTCATTGTGGTCTCATATGGGCTGATTCTTTACACAGTGCTGGGTATTGCTTCTGAGAAGGGAAGATGGAAGGCTCTCAACATATGTGTGTCACACATCTGTGCAGTGCTTGTGTACTATGTGCCTATGATTGGTGTGTCTGTCATGCATCGGGTTGCCAAGCATGCCTCACCTGTGGTTCACACGCTGATGTCTAGCATCTATCTCTTTGTGCCACCGGTGCTCAATCCCATCATCTACAGCATTAAGAGTCAGCCAATCCAACAGGGAATTGCCATCGTATTCTCCTGCAAGGGGAAATTGATCTAAGTCACTCCTGCAATCCAAAAGTTTGATTGTGTTTCTGCTATGGGCAAAACACAACACTAGGAACTTTAAGGATAAATAGGAAGGAGAAATTTGAAGCATTGTAACAGGCTTGAATCTGAATCACAGGAATTACTCCTAAGTCCTTTACCTCTCACATTTTATTAATATATATGTCTCTGTGTGGGCACACCTATATACCCTTCATTTCTAAGCAGATATAACAACTTGAGGGCAGAAATAATGAAATTACCTCCCCACCTCATTCTCTTAGTAGTTCTAGCAGAAGCCTAAAAAATGGTAAGCTAACAGTAAAGGCCTGAAACCTTGTGATATTTGACTTGAAATAAAACAAAATTTTATTTTATGGGATAGCTAGGGTTTAAGAACACTGCCTTCCTACCATCATAAAGAAAGATCATCCTGGGAGCAAGTCTTTAAATAAAGTGAGCATACTTTCTGGTTTGCCCCAGATATTCATAATTCACACTTTTTTTCTCAACATTGTTAGTAATAATGCTCTCTTTCACTCCCCAAAATATCCTTGTTTAAATAATGAAAGACATGATGAACACCTATGATGTAACCTCCAATTATAAAAGAAGCCAGATTCTTCTAGCAACCCACCATCCAATGGTCTCCACATGCAGAATTTATGTACTTCAGGTTCTCAGGATGCACAGCTGACTAAATGACCTCAACTGAGGCATAAGTAAACTGTGGAAAATCTTATAATGCACAGGTTACAGATCCTAGGAATTCTAGTAAAGGCAACAAGTTTTACCATAATAGAATTCCGTGCTCTATTTTTAGGTAAACATTTGCTGTCTGGCATCACTGTCCCTAGATGTCCCCTCTTCCCTTCTCCTCTCTTCCCTTAAGCCTTCAGTGGCCTTCCTATGCTACCTGAAGCCTCCCTGACCCCTCTCCTCCCACAAACATCTAAGATAGGTCTGCTTGGACCTGCCTCCTTCTGTCTGTGGTTTCTAGAAAACTTGGTCAAATAGGAAATCATCCTTTCTTCTACATAGCTCAGCTCTTTGTGTAGAATGGGTTAATAGGACTGTGCCAGTTAATCAGAAACTAGTGTCAAGTTTTCAGCCTCTCTCCACTTAGGTCCTCTAACATCAGCAAGAATGTTTTCCTCACCATGTTTTATTTCCCCCAACTCATTTAACTCACTAGGTCCACCTTTACACAGTGAATTTTTGGAATAAAAAGAAATTACGTCTGTCTGGAATAGTGGTCATAAAATTTTTGTTATATACTTTTTAAAATAAAGAACAAAAAAAATCTATATACTTTCTCAACAATTCCCAGTTTGATATAAAAAATTTGCTCATAAATTTTCACAGGTATTCAGCGTGCATTTTGGACTGTATTATAAATATAGTCAGTTTAAAATAGTTACACAACATCTTGAAAAAGTAAGGGGGAGAAGAATGTGGGAGAAAGATAGCCCTCTGCTATTTGCCTACTTTCTCTCTGCTTTTTACCTCCTACTCTTTCTGCGCATTATGCTTCCTCTGAAGCCTTACTTTCTCTAGTTCAAATCTGAGTTGTTCTTAATATTGACCACTTGTACCAGGAGTCCAGTAATAAGAATCTGTGACCAAAATCACAGGTGTCCCTAAAAAATGGTATTTCTGAGAGAACCTGTACAGTTTCCTCATAATGTTTTATGAACATTAAGTTATATCTCTTATAATCGAAACTTTGTTGCTATAAAGTCCATGATAACCAGGGGAATCTGCTCCTAAGTAATGCCATATTAAGGCCATTGTCACATTTATTTCTTTCTGCCTTTTTTTTTTTTTTGAAGAAATTCTGATTCTGGTGGGGGAAAATGAGTCCATTTTGTGAAAATATTATCTTAGCTGAAGTTTGAACTTTCAGTTCTAAGAACCTTCAGCTAGGCAAAAGTCCGATTCTCGCTCTGAGGGATCTTGCCCTGCAACCCTGATTTTAGACTTCTTTATTGGGTTTGCTTGTTCTGCTGAAATCAGGCTGCATGTTGACTAGGTAAATCTGAATGGCTGATAAGCCTGATCTTCACCAATTAATCTGTCCAAACTTAATCCTCCATTAAGTTTATAATTATTTTGCAATGGAAACTCAGAGAACATACTCAGTACTCAATGTGGTGATTCAGGAGAACGGAACCAGAATTGACGTGCATTCTGGAGAAGAGCCCCCTAAGAGAATAGCTTAGGTGGGACAATACAAAAAGACATTAAAAAAGGACAGTATAGCTTAGGTGTTAGTGTCAATGTGCTAGAATTCTCATCAACTCAGATGCACATCTCTTTTGTATAGAATCATTGTTTCTAGTTTACTACCCCAAACTCTCCTGCCACAAGTCAGGACCATGTATACTCCCTCAGTAATATTATGGGGTTTTATTTTACATATATTATTTCACAATTCTGAATATACGTTCCTCTTATTTCTGTATAATTTAACAAATGAATTCCCTTATCATAAAAAGATTGAAAGATGAAAAAAAAAAAAAGAAAAAAGAGTTCAGGTAGATTTCTAGCAATTGTTTCTTCTAATAGCCATGTAACAATGAAAACTCTCTTGACCTTTCTGAGCCCAAACATCTAATTTCCAAAACTGGGTTTCTATTTGCTGTGGCTTTTGTCACAATTAAATTTTACAACTAATCTTTTAGCTAGCTGATGAAAGGACATCCTATATATGTGTGTTACATTGTGACCAGATTCAATTCCGTAGGTCTCCCTGAATATGCTGTTGAATTGGGGCCTTGGTGCAAATTACAAAAATCCTTTGAACTTGAGAACATTTTCTGAGACATACCTCAATATATTGGGGGACATTCATTTTGAAATTTATTATAGACTGTTGAAAGGTAAAACTTTTGTATTCATATGTTAATAGACACTTGGGTTGTTCCCATATCTTGGCTATTGTGAATAATGGTTTCACAAATATGATGATGCAGAGTCTCTTTAAGACCCTAATTTTGATTTATATGTGCCCAGAAGTAGGATTACTAGATCATTTGGTAGTTCCATGATAAGCTTTGGAAGACTCACCATTCTGTTTTTCCATAGATGCTGGACACCTGAATAAAGTCATTCTTAAAATTCCTAGGAAGATTCTCAATCTATATGCAGTTTTGAGGTTCATCTTTATTTTTAGATTGAATTTGTTACTGATAATTCTGGACATATGGTGACTAAGAGGTGAGAAGAGGGCAGTAACATTGGAAATATCCCAGATGCAGGAGTGGGTTAGTGGACATTCCTAGGGAAAACCCCAAATGCATCTCTATTTATATCTCTGTTTAAGTTGGGGCCTTTATCTCTGTCTATCTATCTATCTATCTATCTATCTATCTATCTATCTATCTATCATCCACAGAGAGACAATTAAAAATATCACAGAATGAGATTAAAAGAAGGATATAATACTAAGAGCAACCTATACTCTAAACAGGGTGTTTTTTAATTTAAAGCAAAGCTTTTTTCATACCCTTTATTCCTTACTCTTTATTGATAGTATTTACAATTTTGATGAAGGTGGTCCTTCCTTTGACTCCATGTTTCTCTATCAAAAGCATTCTCGCAAACCTGACAGTTTATGTGTGTTTTCTATCCAATATCTACTAAAACTTCTTATGGAGGCATAATTGTACAGATTTTATAGATAAAGAAACTGCTTGCAAAATTATAAACAACTTTTTCAACTCATTGATTAACAAATCATGATGACAAATCAAGGGTATCCACCATAATGAGAGCACAGCTTGAGCCAGTGTAGAAGGCAAAGCTAATTTTCCACCATTTTGAGTTGGTTCTGTATATTCACACAAAATGTTGACAAGTGTCTTGCAATCTTCCAGAGATGATTTTTTTGGAGTTCCTTCTTGTACCTACCATCCTCTTTAAGCAAGAGTTTCCATTTCCGAATCTTTGACTCCACCACTAAGTTTAAGTGAACTTTGAATTGGAAATTAGTTTAACAGTTTCTGAAACTCTCAGAGTATTTTCTCTTTGGCTTTTGGTGATTAGTATTTGTTTTTATTTCCACATAGCACCATTATCCATAATGTTTTGCCTGTTTTCAGTTTGCTCTCCTAATTTATGAAGGTTGTCTTTTATTATTATTTCAGTTTGAGATTATATGAGAACCAGTGTTAATTAAACGTTGACATTTGCTTTAGAAATTACTTATAAGGATACGAACATGTTATAGCTTCGATGAGAATTTTTATATAGTTATCAGAATTTAAATTTTATAAAGCAGAATTTTATATTTATCATATACTTAACACTGCAAAGAAGGAAGGAAAGGCTTCATATTTTGAATCATATTTTATTTTTTTTCTCTAAGTCAAATGATTAGTGAAGTGCAAAGTTGAGTTTTTAAAAAAACTATTGGGGTTGGGGGTGTAGCTCAGGCTTAGTGCACTTGCCTGGCATGCATGAGTCCTGGGTTCAATCCCCAGCCCTGCAAAGAAAACAAAAACAAAACCTATTTCTTATAATTTCTGGTGAAGCAATAGTGATATCTTTTTTATTTACAATCGAAGCTTTTTATATACTATCTGCTCCTTTTATCATCTATGCTACTTAAAATTGTGATGGTAATGGTCTTTGCTACTGACTCCACGTTACCTAATAAAATGACTCCTGTAAATCTAAACTTCAATAGTTAGTGCATTTTCCTCTGAAATAGGAGGCAAGTAATTCCCTGACGGATCTGCTTGGTCTTTGCACTGTAAATGATAGGGTTCATCACAGGTGGGGCCAGCAGGTAGATATTGGCCATGATAACATGGATCAGTGGAGAGGCATGTTTGGCAAAGCGGTGAGTCATAGATACACCAACCATGGGGACATAAAGGACCAGAACAGCCAGAAAGTGAGAAAGACAGTTATTGAGGGCACGAAATCGCTCAGTCCGGGTGGCTGTGCTCAAGACATTTTTCAAGATGAGTACATAGGAGAGTACAATGAGCAGAGGGTCCATTACAA